GGGTGTAAAAGATTCGGCCAGAGTCAAATATAATTTACTTACTTGCTGTAAATGTCTTCGTTTTCCTTTTTTTTTTTCTTTAATTTTAATATATCTTCAAAATGTCTTTTCGCGGAACAGGTAAAACATTGTATAATTAATAAACGCGAGATAATAATTATCTTAAGCATATTTGAATCTCTCGGCGAGCTGCGATTGTTTAATTGCGATGAAGAGCTTAAAAGTATATATTTGGCCGCTGCATTTATAAATAAATTAAATTATGCTTAATGCTTGTTTTGCTATTAATGTAGTAAAAGTGTTCGTAGCGTCTGTCTTCTCATATATAAATATCACTAAACCATAAGGAACGTAACCATTTTGCCAAAATATTTGCAACACTTAGATAGAAGCTTCGGTGACCAAATGAAGTATGTATATATATACACACTTATCAATCGATCTAAGCACATACGTCTCTCCATAGGTCCGTTATGATGTTCGCCAAAAATGAGATGAACAAATAGATTAGAATTTTTAATATAGTAAATCAGTGAAGGGACACGCCTTTACGCATACTTTTTACTCATTACCTATAATGGAAAAATTAGTAAAAATTTTCACATGGAAAAGATCTAACCATCCAGTGTTATAAGAGCATCAGTTTCATTCAAAGTTTCATTTTGATGATACGGCTGCTGGCGAATGTAATTTTCCTTTCTAATACCTAGCTATGCACTAACACACAAACGACCGAATACTAGATAAATACTGACTATCTAGTCTATCATTTATTGCAAGAATCGTATATTATTTCCGTAAGGAATTGAAAAACATCTAACTCTCTTCTGCGTGCATAATTCAAGTTTTAATTCAATTCAACGCATTTAACTTTAGCAGGAAATGAACAATCTTGATCTGACTAAGAATACGTATATTTTTTGTAAAATGCCAGACATATTCCGTGAGACTACAATTTGCAATAATGAATTTAATATATCACCTCTTTTTAATGGTGCGTAGAATAATAATTGTAGTCTGGCCATTAAACTTTGTATAGATGTCATGGCAAATGAACACTCTAAACCATAATTAGTATGATTTTTTAATTTTTATAGCCACTACAATAAACTAGATTATACTAATTTAATTCGTATGTTTGCAGCATCTAGGAATATGTATCAAAAGCCTCGTAAAGTATGCGTTTTCTTCATAATTATAAAGTGCTTCTGACTCGGTTTACATCCATCCGCAGAAAATGTTAAAAGGCAGCCTAAAAGAATCCTACTTAGCGATCATAAAACAAATTCGAAAGGCAATGTGATCTGAGTTCAACTACAATAAGCGGTAGAAGGAAAAACTCGCACATTAACACATACTATAACTATTAGAAAAGGCGATGCAAAACTTTAGTAGGGAACATTGCCCTCCTAAAAAGGATAAGCAAAAATTTGTAATTTGCAACCAAAAGAAGATATTTTAGTATAAAAACTATCAAAATATCCTAGAGCCAAAAAAGAAGTTCACGAAATAACTTAGAAGTAACTCCCATACGGTGATTAAAAAAAATTCGTTCCAAGTCGTGTAAGGCTTTTCATCCTTCCATATCAAATTTACATTCATTTGGTCGTTCATTCATCCATCTAAACCTTCCTTTGGCAGTTAACCCGCAATGCTGTATAACAATTAAAAGAGGAACGCACTCGCTTGTCTAAAATATGACACACATTTGCACGACCATCTAAACTTTCAGCAGCAGTAACTGTATCGCCTTCTCATATATAATTTTTTATATAAATCATTTCGATTATTTCTCAGTTCGAACTTGTTTAGAAAAGCATAAAATCCGTCTCAAATCTCTTTACCTGCCTTCTCCTTTTCCGTAAGGATTCCATGAACTGATCTCAACCCTTTCCATTCTTATTTCCTTTAACTTTTCTGTTATTATAACGAGTAAAATAATTGAGCGAAAAGCTCTGAACAAGCGTTAATGTGTCCATAATTTTCAGCGACCATGATAAACAATCATCATGTTATCAATAAATCGTATTATTTCTACTATATGATTGAACAAGGGCTAGCTATTGCGAAGCTGTAATGCAATGAAATGTTTTAGATTTTAGCTCACACAAGGTTAAATGAACTCAGTACACAATCACAGCCTGTCTACATCGTGCTGCAGACACATGACACATTAGTTTTATCCATCTAACTTTATAAATAAAATGAAATTGGTTTTGAACGCAAAACTTTCATTTCAAACAAAAATTTGGTTAAAAGCCCGCAGAAAGAAAAAAAATCCAAAAAGAAAAAACTCACCTTGTAGTGAACCTGCGATAACCACTACTATCGTCTATTAATAACTTAAGTATGAAAAACAAAAAGTAAAATATTTTAATAAATATGGGCGTGCCAATCGTTCAATAGGAACTTTGCACGCTAGCCGTTTAAAATAATTTCTCTTAGTTTAACGCTTGTTGTCTATTATCGACTTATGTTATTATATATAAATCATGCTCATGCGAATGCTGCGTAGCTAGTTTGCGATGCTGATATAATATTTACTGCAATCTTTAGCTCAACAGCAGCATTTTAGGACCTCGTAAACCAAGTGACAAGGAATCATTACCTTTGTACACTTCACAACTTTACAAACACATTTTATAATAAAATTAATATCGGACGATTTCCTTGTAAAGGACTCTCGCTTAAGAACACGAAATTTGACACAAAGTCATAAAAACTAAGAAAACCATTGTCTGGCTTGCGAGTACGCCGAACGGCACAGTACCTATAGTGCCGAATACTAAAAAGTGGTTCCTAGTTCAGACTGAGACGGATAGGGATACTAATTTACCTATCGTGGGCAGATCACTTCTATTCTGAAATTGATCTTGTGCTCTAGTTTTCTCAATTTTTACAGTTGTAAGCTTTCCCGACGGAAACTAGGATAAGCGTTCAAATCTGGACTAACATGTGGTCGTAGGGCACCTCTGGCGCGTATTTTTGACTGTTACAAAGAGAAAGGCATATTTAGCAGTATATCCCAATGCTTTGGTAATGGATACCACAAATTGTACAAATTGCAAATTGTGTGCTATGAGCAAAAATGTACAAACTTCACTTTGTTACTGCTTTCGTTACATTACGTTACGTATAATATATTTAGAGTGAATTTTAAAAACCCACAGCTTCTAAACTAAATTTAGTCTTGGTTATGGCGATTATCTCGGGCAAACAAAAGACTATTATTACATATAACTTTTTTGAATTTGGACTGAAACCATCGTTACATAAAACTTTCATATATGCACTAAGCAGATTCGTGACAACAAAAAATATATTGAATCAACTTTTCTAAAGTTATCAAGTACCTTTCCGACGGAGTTTAGTCGGTCATCAAACTTAACTTATGAAGATCAACTTGACGTATGCACCATAAAAGCAGAGAGAGAGAGAGAGAGAGAGAGAGAGAGAGAGAGAGAGAGACAATACTAAAAAGAGGTTTGGCAGTTAGTGAGCGAAGCATAATTTATAAGAAAAGTTCTAAACCATTATAATATTTAGCGAGCAAGCTTCTTAAAGAGTAAAGCGAATAACTAAAATAAAGAAAAGAACTTTTACATGTCGGAGACTTACTGTTCTAAAGATTTCTTAAAGTAGTCTTCTCGCCAGACAACCGGCCTTCATTATAAACGATAAAGAGCGTAAGATAATCTAAAAAATCTCATGCTCTATAACTTTGATCGGTTACTTCGTTCTTCGGATGGAGGGTAATACAAATAAAATAACTATAAATATGTTAAAGTGTCGCGAAGTTAATATTTCTTACACCGCCTACGATTGTACAGAAGTCCAAAAACAGGCGGCTCGCCTCGTATGAACAACATATAAGAATTATATAATAAATATAAATAAGTAGAAAAAGATCTTACAATTATTTAATACAACTTAGACTGCCTATGATATGGTCCTCTGATCTTGTAATGGAAAAAAGATTAATTAGTTTCTTAATGAACTTGAAGGCTTAATACTTTTTCATCTATCTGATATGTAGTTTATACAAATTTCTATGTGTTGCAAACGTAACAACAAATTTAGTAAACTGTCAAGATCAAAATAGTTGATAAGAAAAACGACAAAATAGCAAATTGCAATAAATTTCCACTTCAAACATACGGACATATATGACAAAATAAACGAAATCTGATTTTAAATAACGTAGAAACACTTTCTGCTTGTATATCGATGCATGTTTATATATATATATGTATATGCATAACTATGCATAATTGCATATGCACATATATATACACGTATATATGCATATGCACATACAAATATCCCCATACACGCATATATATATATATATATATATTAATACGTAGTAGAAAATCGGTCAAATAAAATTGATGTTATGTTGCGTTATGCGAAATATTTTTGTATACGTAAGTATGTTGCTTTATTTATTGCATTTACAATATGAATGTATTTGCGGTTTTGCACAGACATTGACAAGATTTTTTATTTTTTTCTTATTTATTTTTTTTCTTTTTTTTTTTTTTAATAACATTAAACAATTTATGTAAACAACAACAAGTGATAACAACGAATCGGGAATCGCATAAACAAACTATGAAAGTTTCCGTGTGTTTGTTTACACACACAGCAAAAGGTTCCAATTTAGTATACAATACGAATAAACATGAATATCATACATTTACTGGCGATCACTTAAGCCTGTATGCATGCTTGTAATCGTATGTGTGTCTTTTAAGTTTCTTTGTATAGATATACATATATATATGTATATATGTACATATATATACTGATATGTCCGATCGCAATTAAAGCAATTCATATCAGTGAATTATATGAAAACAAAATGGTGCCGTCCAGTTTCATATAAAGCGAAAGAAGGCGTTTCAGAAAAAGAGAGAGAAAGCAATTAACAAACAAAACAAAAAAACTGATAATAATAATAATAATAATAATAATTAAAGAAATAATGGATTACTTACTTGACCTGTTGTTGCTTCTAAAATCACATAGACCAATAATATTATTTCCTTTTCATCAGATCCTAAACCGGGCCCATTTTGTCCATACGTTGCCACATATAGCGACACAACATGCTCAGGCACTTGCACTTGCATTTTTCCCATTAATTATTATTCAACTAAGGTTAGGATTGATGTCCGCCGATTTGTGATATAATTTAAGAAACGATGCAGAGAATTACTTAGCAAGAGTGTTGTTGTGTCAGCCAAAACAAAAAAGGATGAAAAACGTTTCTTATTTTCGTAAATATACTAATGATTTGCCATATGAATGCGGTGCAATGTGTGTTTAAGGTGTTGTATCTTCATTTGTTCATTTTGTACTATATATATATAACAACATTTTTAAGAGCCGCTCGTCGGGAGTCGATTAATCTGCAAATAATTAATTAATTATATTAGCATTCAATATTTAATTATTATGATTAATGAAATAATCAAACTTTGAACTTATGCTAAACAAAGCAAAATTATTTATTTAACATATTTATAAGAATGCGTATCCAACATGGCCACATGGCGAATACGCCATTTCTTAAGTTGATAAAGTAATTTTTTTAAATTTTCATGCAAGTCAGCGTTAATGTACCCTACACCACTTGTGGAACAAAGTACATAAATTAGCGCGGATGCATGTAACACGCAGAAGGAATTAGCATAGACCCACCTTTTATAATACCAATCAGATTCTGAGTCTGCCTATCCGTCTGTCTGTCTGATATCTGTACATGTAAATTTGTGTTCGAGCTGCAGATCGCAATTTTTGAGATATTTTGATGAAATTTGGTACAGTGTGACGTGTTCAGATTCAAGGGCTACTGAAAATGGTTAGGATCGGTCCACTTTTTCGACCACTCCCCATATAACACGCTATTCTGAAAACTTGTTATATTGAAAAAAAATTGCTTTTTTGTGATTTCTAAGGAAAAATGCTTAAGTAGTAGTATTTCGGCCATGGAAACTTTGGACCATCTTTACCTATTTTTTGCATCCTATCCTTTATAAAAATTTTACGATGAAAATTGACCCATAAAATTAATTGCGTACAAAAATAAGAATTATATCAGACAATGTGGTGTAGGGCACTTAGTAGTCGGCCTTGGTTGACTATAATGTTCTTAGTTGTTTTTATTAATAGAGGTCTTAGGAAATCAGTTCCTTGTTATAACAAAGCTAATTTAATCTTGCGTTATGTTGTCTTCTTCTCTTCTTTTACTTTCTCAACGGAGAATGCGTCACCATATTTACATGTACGCGACGTTTGGCCATGACTGAATGCGTTAAAGGCAAATTATTGTCAAAGCGTTTGAATAGCATAGCTTTGAAAAAAACCTACTTTTTGTTCACCTTTGCATCACTGCATTGTCATACAAGGACATTCTATGCAGATTGTGCAAATTTTCCATATAAAAGCTATGAACTTATAAAGGAGTAACAATAGGTTCTTTTTAGTCATATTTGACAGTTACTCGTACATAAATTAGCAACGCCGCTTGAGGGACCTGCGATTCTCTTTCCAAGAAATTATGTCTCATACTTGAAAAGATTACAAATATTAAACAAAAATGTGAGTGGGATACCACAAGAGAGTAAGAAGTTACGCTTCAATGTTAGGTCAAGGCGGAAAATAGAAATAGGATCAACTTGGGGCCTTTATCTGCAGGCTAAGAGGTAATTCTATCTTGTAAGCACGAAACGAACGGTGATTTTCTCACATGTGCTTACAAAAGACCAGTGAGACAAATGTTTTACATGTCTTTGTCTTTTCATTGATATAACTAAAAAAATATATATATATATACATGTAAAATAAAAATATATATATTTTAAAAAGATCTTCCTCCCTTACTGAATGTCGCTATTTTCCACAACGAAAGGGTAAGAAAATTGCTTGTACCTTTATGGTACTTAAAATAATTATTTTTTTATCTGTTAAAAAAATACCGTTGTCTTCATACAGTTCTCATTTTTCTATATAAAACAAGTTAAAAGTCGTATAGTTAGCTAAGGCTTGCCGTTAAATACCCTACACCACCCAAAAAGTAATTCGATCCAAACCTTATTGAAAAAAAAAACACAAGTGAGTCCCGCCACTTGACTTGCATTCATATTTCAAAAAAAGGCGTTATATAGGCGGGAAAAAGTTATCCGATAACAACGATTTTGAATAGCGTTCGTTCTTCCTGGAAATTTATAAAATATTATGATCTGTGGGTGGAACACAGACAAACAGGACGGACAGACGGATGGACAAGCTTACTTTCACTTTCACTTTCTGAATTGATCGGTGTAATACGAAGTGGATGTATCTCAGGCCCTTCTAATTGTTGCATAGATCCGCGCAAAACTTAATATACTCTTGTTTTGCAAGCGGTATTGTGTATAACATAAGAACTAAACAGATTGTGATATTTATGAAAACATCGTTAAAAAATTATTTTCTTTCTATTTTAAAAAACAATATATGTTTTATTTAAAAAAAAAAAATCAATCAAAAATTAACTCTAACAATGGTTATCGTAAAAGAATCGAAAGAATTCTTCATAATGTTGCTATGGAGTTACAATGGAGTTAAAAATCAAATAGTTAAGATTTATAATACAAATGCTAAAAATACTCTCTGCAGAAGCTACATATTTTGAGACGATTAAAAACTTTGAGGCAGTGACTTTACTTTAAAAATGTGATTCTTGGATCGTAAAAAAAATTAGAACCGCCGTAAAACTTTTTACATTAACATTTTACATTTTAAGGGATCATTTAAAAAGCGAAGAAAAATTAAAAAAAAAAAATTCCTTAGCTAACAGTAAATAGCAACTAAGTTAGGAAATGAGAAACAGAAATAATTAATATTTTCCTTTTAGTATCACAACAATGTAGTTCGAATATATAATTATGTTATCCAATTTTTTACGTCCACAAGGGTAAGGGAAAGTTCATTTCAGTGTTCAGTGATAATAAATTTTTTACACAAAAGATTGATTTTAGCCAATTTTGTTCCAGTGCGATTAATCTTCTGCCACCTTATAAACTGATATCAGGTCTTTCCTGAAATTTTTACCCAGAGACTAAGCTTGAAGGCATGCACTGTTATTAATAGTCTTTTCCGACTAATGATATCTGCTTAAAGCAGCTTCAGGCACCAATGAATGGGTTTTCCCAATCAATTAAACAACAACTGCATGGGAGAAGGCTGCAATCCTGCAGCAAACAACAAAGATATTCAGCTTTAAACCAGCGAAAATTCTCAAAGAATCCACGATTTTAGATATTTACTGATTACTTTCAAATCTAATAAACTAATGAGACATCTCTCGGATTCATTGGACAATATTTTCGCAGAGAGTCTTCCATTTTAAGAACGAAATTTTGGGCTAATCTAATAATGATGGTAGAGAGACTAGATAGAGACTGATAGATTAATTTAGCTTACGCACCTCTTGGCTCGACAAGATCTAATCAAAATAAAGAATCTTTGTCGGCCGTAGTAAAATAAGTGGAGTTGGATGTGAAATACGTTTGGATTTGGATCGTCCCAGGGTTGTTATTATTTCGCTGGTAGGCGAAATTCCTTCTAATCTTCCTTTGCGCTTTTGGGGAGGACATTTTGTTGTGCAAGTAATTTTACGTGCAAGCACGAACTTCAAAAGAGGCCATTGCGAAATGATCTTTTCAAAAGTCTATAAGACTTTGGTTTTAGAAGTAGCCGGGAAACATATGCGAAAGTTCCAAAAATGACTATTTATGACAGATATCGAAGACTGGCTTATTTCCATGCTTTGCTTACCGATCGTAAGAGAAAAAAGGATTTCCAGTGTACGGAGACCCTTATGCATACAACGGCTCAAAATTCATTCATCACTAATGATGAGAAGCCTTGTGAATTTCAAACAATTGCTTGAAATGGTTGGCATTGAAGGGTCCGAAAGTAAATACGATTTTCTTATTTTTTTCCTTTTTTTTTAATGACAACAAAACTCGCAAACATCATAACCATAAATGTCTCCGAATTTACGTAAAAAAAAAAATTTCTTGAAATTCGGTTATAATTAATGTTTTAGCATATTTTGAAAGTGTTTGCGTTGTTGCTTTTGGTGTTTTTAATAACTACATTAAGTGCACCTTTTTATTTAAATATGATTACGCAAAACCATAAATTATTTCATAACGGATATTAACGTTTAGCAGTAACGGTCAGAGTTTAAAAATGATATAAAGAAATCTCGTAAAAAATTAAGCTCAACTGAATTACAGCAGTATACTATAAAATACTAGCTGATCCAAGATATTATTATCACTTTAAACACAAAAACTTGGAGCAACACAGAAAATGGTCATTAAATGAGCGGATAAAGGTTGTTCCTACGTTTATAACAGAAATCCGATGGAAAGTTTATTTATATTACATATAGCAGCATTTGATTACTTAAATAAATAATAAAAGAGCAAAAAGTATGGGTGCAATGAGACATAGCCCATATCGCCAATACCCTACATCACTTTGCTTAATAAAGTCTTTGCAAATTAAAGTCCTATATGGGAACTGGATGAAAAAGTAGTCCGGTCTAAACCATTTTCAATAGAGTTCGCCGTTGAGGCAAAACACGTCCGTGTACCAAATTTCATCAAAGTAGCTCAAAAACTGCTACGTATAAGTTGAACACAAGGATGCAAGACGGACAGACAAGCTTAAATCGATGCAGAAAGTGATTTTCATTCGTTCGGTACATTATCCCAAACTCTTCTAGGTGTTGCATTTTCAATAGCGTTTGTCGTTGGGCCAAACTTTCTCGATCTATCAAATTTCACAAAAATATTTTAAAAATAGCGACCTGTACGATGAACACAAGACAGACAGACAAGGTTAAATCGATCCAGAAAGTATTTCTAAATCGTTCTGTTTGGGGTCTCAAGATCTTCTACACGTGCTACATACATCTTCACAGAGTTAATGTATGCTCGTACACCAAGTGGTGTAGGGTATAAAAGAGAAGAGAAAACGAACAATTTGTAATAATATTTTATTAAATAGAAATGAATTTTTTTTTTAATCTGTCAATTATTTTACAAAAAAACAATGCCTTCATCATTGGTTTTTTACCCACTTTAGTATTCATCGATTGCTTTCGTTTTCGATGATTTGCGTAAATGCACCGATTTTTTTATTATTTGAATTTGTTTTAGTTTATAATTCCTTGAAAATTATTCTAGATAATTAAAATGCAACGGGTTTAAAGTTCATTACATGCATATGCACGTGAAATGAATATTAATAAAAAGGCTTGAAAGCTATTCAAAATATGTTAAGCAGTCTTAACAAAAATTTAAAAAAAAAAAAAAAAAAAAAAAAAAACAAGAAATTCAATCATATTTTA